TGTATAATGTAAACAGAATTGGTCCTAGCACTGAACCCTGTGGAACTCCATAATTAACCTCAGTGTGTGAAGAGGACTCTCCATTTACATGAACAAATTGGAGTCTATTAGATAGATATGATACAAACCACTGCAGTGCAGTACCTGTAATATCTACAGCATGTTCTAATCGCTCTAATAGGATATTATGGTCGACAGTATCGAATGCTGCACTGAGGTCTAGCAGGACAAGCACAGAGATGAGTCCACTGTCAGAGGCCATAAGAAGATCATTTGTAACCTTCACTAAAGCTGTTTCTGTGCTGTGATGAGCTCTGAAACCTGACTGAAACTCTTCAAATAAACCATTCCTCTGCAGATGATCTGTTAGCTGTTTGACAACTACTCTTTCAAGGATTTTTGATATGAAAGGAAGGTTGGAGATTGGCCTATAATTAGCTAAGACTGCTGGGTCTAGAGATGGCTTTTTGAGTAAAGGTTTAACTACAGATAGCTTGAATGCCTGTGGTACACAGCCGATTATTAGAGATAGGTTGATCATATTTAAGATCGAAGAATTAATTAATGGCAGGACTTCTTTGAGCAGTTTTGTAGGAATGGGGTCTAAAAGACACGTTGATGGCTTGGAGGAAGTAATTATTGAAGTTAACTCAGAAAGATCAATTAGAGTGTAAATGCTGTTAAAATGTTAAGTTACATAATTTCATGAATATATATAGTTTGCGTTGAAATGTCTTTATTTGAAATGTACATGTGTAAGGTGAGAGCTAGTGTCTCGTGAGAATACCCTTAACGAGAGCACACGAGACTTTTCATGGACTGCGAGGGAGCAGATGTCTCTCATGAAGCGATTTAAGCTAAAAGTTTACTAAAAGAAAGGGCAATACAAGGACTTAAGGACCTCTTTTTAGGACAAGCAGCCAACGAGGTATTTGTCATTTGAGAAATGTTTTTTATTTTGTGTTTGGACTTAATATGTGTACTGTAAAGTTGCTAATTGTTTGTACTGTTCGCTCATGACCAGTTCTCACGGCGTAATGGCGTATTGGCGTAATGGCGTATCGGCGTACTGGTGATGGTGAAGCTGAGGAGAGAAGGCCCAAGTAATAAACGCCCGTTTCAAAGAACCGACCTGTGTCTGTGTTGTCGTGAAGAGAGCTACAGTGAGAACTCGCCTGCTCAACACGGGTAGGAGAGGACAGGATCGCCGCGGATGACGAAACGACGCGGATCCGGTGCATCACGTCAGATAAGCAGAGTGCATAACGCATATCGGCACAGCATTAACAAGCAACGGTGGTTAGACTGAGTTAAAGCGCTAATTTTCACGTTTAAGATCAGGAGAAGCTCTACCACAAAGTGAAGTTAAGGTGGTGTGAGAAGTGGTTAAATGTGAAAATTGCAACTAAGGGACTCATCTGTTATTCTTGCTTGCTTAATGTAGAGATTAATCCAATGTGTTTGCATTTATAGTTGTTGTACATCACAAGGTTTATAGAACAAACAAGTAAATATTTAACAAGCTCACAGGTTATGAGTAATTTTGAGTTATACAAAATCTGCTGAGTTTAAAGGGCACCTTATGTGAATTTTAAAGGGGTACTATACTGATGTGAAAACTTGAAAACCTTTAGTAATGTAAATGATAAGGATTTAAGGTATTTCTAAGTACATTTACACTGTTATTGTATATTTGTGATAAGGTGATTTTTGTTGTTCTTGTCTGTTTGAAACTTAAGTTCAGTATTGAAGTCAACAGTGTGTTGGAAGACTCATACATACATTTATGAACCTTAATTCAAATTAAGTTTATTGCAACTTTCACTTACACATAGTCCAGAAGAAATCTAGTTGAAGTTTAATAGCTGCACAATCACACTGCTATAATCTCAACATGTCTAACATAAGCAGAGAGACCTGCCATAAAGATGCTGAACAATCCGCTCAAGCTGAAGCTACTGTCACTGAATCTGCAGCAGAACTAGAGGGGTTTCGAAGAAGTGAGAGGGCGCGTACCCTAACAGAAAGGGGAAGAGCATACCAAGATGAGAGACTGAAGCACATTCAACGCAAATACAAAATCATCTATGAGAAGTGGAGGTGTCATGCACGAATACGCAAAGAGTTATTAAGTGGTGATGCTTCTAAGGATGAGTTAACTGAGCTTATTGAGAACATCAAAAGCACCTGTTCTGATGTAAAGGTGGTTTATGAGGAGCTGCGTCAAGCGCAAACCCCTGAACCAGACCTGCGGCGCAGGGTTGATACATGCATGTCATTCTCAGAATTTATTATTCAAAGAGCAGAGAGACAGCTTAAAGGTCATGAAGCAGATAAAGATGAAGAGTCTTGGCCTGATGCTGGATCTGTTCTAGGCTCAACAGGTTCTGTTTCTAGACCACTGTCTCGTCAAGGATGTAGTTCTACCCACTCTAGCAGCCACTCTGTCAAAAGAATAGAGGCTGTAGCTGAAGCTGCTGCAACTCAGGAAGTCTTGGCAGTGTTGGAGGAGCAAGAAAGGGAAGAAACAGAACTTCAAATGTTAGAGGCTGAGAACCTAGCCAGACAGCAAGCAATCCAAGATAAACGTAGAAAACTTGCACGCCTAGAAGAAGTAAAGAAGCTAAATGCTGCTAGAGCTCGAGTGAGGGTCTATGATGAAGCTGAAGAAAACATAGAAGCAACTGATTTGTCGTATGGTAGTGAAGTACTGCCAGAGCTTAGAGTCGCTGACTCCACAGTACTTCCAGTCACAACCCATTCTCTCAATGCATCAAGTCCCCCATTTATTCCTCAATCCCTAGCAGTCACAAGTCAAGCTCCTTGTCCACAACAGCTACCTCAGTCTCCTCCAGCCTCAGTGTTGAGGCCTCAAGAGCAGAATAGCTTAGATCTGGTCAATGCACTAGTAGAAGCTATGAGTGCAAACCGGCTCCCAACACCAGAGCCTGGGGTGTTTACAGGAGATCCCTTGAAGTTCAAAGACTGGCAACTGTCCTTTGAAACATTAATAGAAAGGAAGAACATCCCAAAGAATGAAAAACTGTATTACCTAAGAAAGTACTTAGGTGGCACAGCAAAGAAGGCCGTGGAAGGATTTCTTCTATTGGGCACAGAAGCAGCATATGACTCAGCCTGGAAGCTTTTAGAGAAACGTTTCGGAGACCCATTCCTAATTGGGAAGTCACTCAGAGACAAGCTGCATGCATGGCCAAAGATGGGTTCTAAGGATGCTTGCGAGCTAAGAGAATTTGCAGACTTTCTCAAGAGCTGTGAGGCTGCCATGTCTCATGTCAAGATGCTGGAGGTCTTGAATGACTGCGTTGAGAGTCAGAGGATTCTGCTGAAATTGCCAGATTGGTTGGTTTCCAGCTGGAATCGCAAAGTGATGGAAGTCAGACAAGTGAAAGCTGAGTACCCACCATTCAAGGTGTTTGTTGACTTCCTATCAAAGGAAGCAGATCTTGCTTGCGATCCAATTTCCTCAATACAAGCACTTAAGAGTGTTGAAAGCGAGAAACCAAGGCATCTACGAAGCCAAATAGTTCAAGCAAAGACTCTGACCACAACTACAACACAGAGCAGTATTACATCATGTGTTTTCTGCAAAAGGACAGGACACATCCTAGACAAATGCCGAAGTTTCACAGAAAAGACAGTTCAGGATCGTGTTAAGTTTGTACACACAGAGAAGCTTTGCTTTGGATGTTTGAAGACCGGTCATCACTCAAGAAAATGTGATAACAAAAGCACGTGTGAGAAATGCCAAAAGAGACACCCAACATGTTTGCATGACGATAAGTTCAAGGAACGTCAAAGGCCAATCCACCTAAATGCAAGTGAAATTTCAAAGGACAAGGCAGAAAGGACCGCAACAGCCACTTCCAACAGAGTTATTCAAGAGGGTCTAAGCACACGAACATCTTCTATCTTGCCAGTCTGGGTGTCATCTATTAAGCAGCCAGATCAAGAACTGCTAGTTTATGCACTCTTAGACACACAGAGTGATACCACCTTCATACTAGATGAAGTAGCTCAAGGCCTGAACACAAACAGAGAGAATGTCAGTCTGCGACTGTCCACAATGTCTGCCAAGTCGACAGTTATTCCATGTCAGAAAATGACAGGTCTACAAGTGAGAGGATACAACTCAGAGAAAAGGATTCCACTACCACCTGTTTTCACAAGAGAATTTATTCCAGTAAACAGGCTGCACATTCCTACCTCTGAAACAGCTCTAAAATGGCCACATCTAGAGCAACTGTCAGAAAAGATTCCACCACAGTTGGATTGCGAAGTAGGCCTTCTTATAGGCTACAACTGTCAACGAGCCCTCCTCCCAAGAGAGATCCTGTCTGGTGACGAAAATCATCCATATGCGCAGCGGACTGATCTGGGCTGGAGCATTGTTGGTTGCTCACATTCAGCAAGCGACAACAGCGATCCAATAGGATTTAGTCATAGAATCATAGTACGACAAGTGACACCAACTGTGCATCCATCAGTTCAGCTAAAGAAGGAAGTGCACTTTGCGTGCAGGACTCAAGTCAAAGAGATCAACCCACTTGACATAATTAAGACTTTTGAATCAGATTTCACAGATCACTCAACAGATGATAATCCAGTTTCTCAGGAGGACCTCCTCTTTCTGTCTAAAGTGAAAGCTGGAATAAGACAGAAGGAAGATGGCCACTATGAACTTCCGCTTCCTTTCAAGACAGACAAACCTAATCTTCCAGACAATAAACAGTGTGCAGTTCACAGGCTCAGCTCATTAGAGCGTCGACTGAGGAGAAATGAACAATATTACACGGACTATGTCAATTTCATGAATGAAATCATAAGTAGAAGAGATGCTGAGAAGGTGCCACAGTCTGAATTAGACAACCAGCCAGCATGGTACATACCGCACCATGGTGTCTACCATCCCCACAAGCCCGGGAAGATCCGTGTGGTTTTGATTGTTCGGCACGCTACCAAGAAACCTCTCTAAATGACCATCTCTTGACAGGTCCAGACCTGACTAACACATTAGTTGGTGTGTTGTGTCGATTTAGAAAGGGTCCTATAGCCATAATGTGCGACATCGAAAAAATGTTTCACCAGTTCCACGTTGCAAGGGAACATCAAGATTATCTCAGGTTCCTCTGGTGGGATGGAGGTGATTTGGATTCTGAACCCTCAGTGTACAGGATGAAGGTACACCTCTTTGGGGCAGCTTCATCCCCCGGTTGCTCCAACTTTGGACTGAAATACCTAGCTTCACAAGGCCAAGGCAAGTTCAGCAAAGAAGCCATTAAGTTCATCCAAAGAAGCTTCTATGTAGATGATGGCCTGACAAGTGTAAGGTCGACTGCTGAAGCTATACGCCTGGTAAAGGAATCAAGAGCTCTGTGCAAAACAGGAAATCTACGGCTACATAAGTTTGTATCCAACGATGAGAGTGTGATTGCAACAATTCCACCACAAGAATATGTTCAGACCAAAGATCTAAACATGGCTCTAGGAGAACTTCATATCGAGCGAGCACTTGGAGTTCAGTGGTGTGTTGAGGCGGATGAATTTCAGTTCAGGGTGGTGGTAAAAGAAAACCCACTGACAAGGAGAGGCGTTCTCTCAACTGTTGCCTCAATCTATGATCCACTAGGTTTCGTGGCTCCATTCCTACTTATCGGCAAACAGATTCTTCAAACACTGTGTAGAGACAAGGTAAGCTGGGACGAACCTCTCCCCGAGCACATCCAGCCACAATGGGAGTCATGGCTCAAAGATCTGCCTCATTTGGCAGTTCTAAAGATTCCAAGAAGCTACCTTCCATCAAACTTTGGTGAAGTCTCACTATATGAGCTTCACAACTTTTCTGATGCAAGCTTCAAAGGGTATGGTGCATGCTCATACCTTAGAGCGATGAGTGAAACAGGACAGATAAGTTGTTCACTTGTCTTGGGGAAAGCAAGAGTAGCCCCTACCAAACTAACAACCATCCCAAGGCTTGAGTTATCTTCAGCTGTGACCTCAGTCCGCATTGGTGATATCATTAGAGGCGAGCTGGAGATTGAAAATGTGCAAGAGTATTACTGGACTGACTCAAAGGTGGTCCTTGGCTATGTGAACAATGATGCTAAAAGGTTCCAAACATTCGTGGCCAACCGCATCCAGCGAATAAGATCTAGCACAAAACCTGAACAATGGCGACATGTCAACTCTGAAAACAACCCAGCTGATGGAGCCTCAAGAGGATTGACTGCAGTTCAAATGAAAGAATCTAGCTGGCTGAAAGGACCCAACTTCCTTTGGCAGCAAAATCTCCCACATGAAGTGGGAATGGTGGGAGAAGTTGAGGCTACTGATCCTGAACTTCGGAGAGCACATGTTCATGCAGTTAAAGCAAGAGAACAGAATCCAATGGTAAACCGTTTAACTAAATTTTCTGACTGGTCCAGAGTGGTGAGAGCCATTGCCAGGCTCAAGAGATTTGTCAGAGAGTTTAAGGGATTTCAGTCGAGAACTAATGAGTCGACTAATCTTGAAGAACGAAGAGAAGCAGAGATCTTCATCATCAAACTCGTACAAGAAGACGCTTTCGCTGAAGACATAAAGAAAATAAGAGGCAAGAAGGAACACACTTTGAGCAGGCACAACAGGCTACGCCAGCTGAACGCTTTCCTGGACGAAACCAATGTTCTTAGGGTGGGAGGACGGCTGTCTCAGTCAGCCTTACACCATGATGTAAAGCATCCTGCGATTCTTCCGAAAAAATCTCATGTGTCAGCTCTGCTGGTCAAACATCATCATGAGCTTATACACCATCAAGGAAGGGGCATGACCATGAACGAGTTGCGCGCAAGCGGAATATGGGTCCTAGGATGTGGAAGTGTGGTCTCCTCACACATTTACAAGTGTGTAAAATGTAGACGATACAGAAGAACAACTGAGGTTCAACAAATGGCAAATCTACCAGGAGAGAGAATTGAGACATCTCCCCCCTTTACTTATTGTGGGCTTGACTGTTTTGGCCCCTTTATTGTGAAGGAAGGAAGGAGAGAGTTGAAACGATACGGATTGTTATTCACCTGCCTATGTTCTAGAGCAGTTCACATAGAAACCCTTGACGATTTGACAACAGACGCATTCATGAATGCACTTCGATCATTCATAGCTATTCGAGGACCCGTGCGCCAGCTAAGATGTGATAGAGGCACAAACTTTGTTGGTGCTAGAAAGGAGCTTTCTGAATTGCTTGAAGGAATGGATCAAGACCGTACAAGGGCGCTTGGTTGTGAATTTGTGCTGAATGTCCCATCAGCTAGTCATATGGGAGGAGTTTGGGAACGCCAGATTCGAACAATCCGAAGCATCCTGATAGCTATGCTCGACAAGTCCGCCAGCAGACTTGACACCACAACTCTAAGAACGTTTCTGTATGAAACAATGACCATAATCAACAGCAGGCCACTAAGTGTCGAGCATCTTCACGATCCTACTGGTCCGGAACCCCTCACTCCAACCACATTCTAACCATGAAATCATCTGTAATTCTGCCACCCCCTGGACAATTCTGCAAAGAAGATCTCTATCTGCACAAAAGGTGGAGAAGAGTACAGTTTTTGGCCAATGAATTTTGGCAACGATGGAAACGAGAATACCTGCTAAACCTCCAACAACGACAGAAATGGCAGAAGCTGTCACGAAACTTGCAACCAGATGACATTGTAATATTAAAGGATGACAGTGCACCAAGAAACCAGTGGAAGCTTGCAAGGGTTGTGGAAGCCCTGCCCAGCGCAGATGGCAAGGTGCGAAAGCTAAAGCTTCTGCTCAGTGACACTACTTTTGATAAGGGAAAACCAATCACTAAATCAGTTTTCCTTGAGAGGCCTGTTCACAAAGTAGTTACATTACTTGAGGCCACCTAAAACACACGTAAAGCTAAATGACCTACACTTAAATGTACACTCACACATCACTTCCTTATAATTTTCATTGAGGAAAATCTCTCATTTTAAGTCAATGAGTGATTTTGGTGGGAGTGTAAATGCTGTTAAAATGTTAAGTTACATAATTTCATGAATATATATAGTTTGCGTTGAAATGTCTTTATTTGAAATGTACATGTGTAAGGTGAGAGCTAGTGTCTCGTGAGAATACCCTTAACGAGAGCACACGAGACTTTTCATGGACTGCGAGGGAGCAGATGTCTCTCATGAAGCGATTTAAGCTAAAAGTTTACTAAAAGAAAGGGCAATACAAGGACTTAAGGACCTCTTTTCAGGACAAGCAGCCAACGAGGTATTTGTCATTTGAGAAATGTTTTTTATTTTGTGTTTGGACTTAATATGTGTACTGTAAAGTTGCTAATTGTTTGTACTGTTCGCTCGTGACCAGTTCTCACGGCGTATTGGCGTATTGGCGTAATGGCGTATCGGCGTACTGGTGATGGTGAAGCTGAGGAGAGAAGGCCCAAGTAATAAACGCCCGTTTCAAAGAACCGACCTGTGTCTGTGTTGTCGTGAAGAGAGCTACATAGAGAAAAAGAGTCTAACTTAACATCAATGGTACTAAGAGTAGCTGTAGATAATATTACATCTGTGGGATGATTACTGGTAATTTTTTCTAATGATAAAAATTTTATTTGTGAAGAAGTTCATGAAGTCATTACTAGTTAACGTTAAAGGGATTGTTAGCTCAAAAGAGCTCTGACTTTTTGTCAGCCTGGCTACAGTGCTGAAGAGAAACCTGGGGTTGTTCTTATTTTCTTCAATCAGTGATGAATAGTAAGATGTTCTGGCTTTGCGGAGGGCTTTCTTATAAAGCAGCAAACTATTTCTCCAGGCTAAATGATGATCCTCTAAATTTGTGACACGCCATTTCCTCTCCAGATTACGAGTCATCTGCTTTAGGCTACGTGTTTGAGAATTATACCACGGAGTCAGGTACTTCTGATTAGAGACCTTAGTTTTCACAGGAGCTACAGTATCCAGAGTCGTACGTAGTGAGGAGGTGAAATTATTAACAAGATAATCGACCTCTGTTTGAGTAGCGTTCAGATAGCTGCTCTGCTCTATGTTGGTACAGGGCATTGAAGATGATAACAGTGGGTGGATTATATTCTTAAACTTAGTTACAGCGCTTTCAGAAAGACATCTACTTTGATAAAGTCTACTCTCCACCGCTGTGTAATCAATTATTGTAAATGTAAATGTTATCAGGAAATGATCAGACAGGAGAGGGTTTTTAAGGAAACACTGTTAAATGTTCAGTTTCTATGCCATATGTTAAAACAAGATCTAGAGTGTGATTAAAGTGGTGGGTGGGTTCTTTACATTTGAGAGAAACCAATTGAGTCTAATAACAGATTAAATGCCATGTTGAGGCTGTCATTTTTAGCATCTACATGGATGTTAAAATCACCCACAATAATTATTTTATCTGAGCTCAGAACTAAATTAGATATAAAGTCTGAGAAATCAGACAGAAACTCTGTGTAAGGCCCAGGTGGACAATAGATGATAACAAGTAAGACTGGTTTCTGAGTTTTACAGCTGGGGTGGACGAGGCTAAGCATCAGGCTTTCAAATGAATTAAAAGTCTGTCTTGGTCTTTCATTAATTAATAGGCTGGTGTGAAAAATTGCTGCCACACCGCCCCCTCGGCCTGTGCTTCGAGATTTCTGGTAGTTAGAATGACTCGGGGGTGTTGATTCATTTAAACTAACATAATCATCCTGCTGCAACCAGGTTTCTGCAAGGCAGAGTAAATCAATTTGTTGATCAATTATTAAGTCATGTACTAACAGAGACTTGGAGGAGAGAGACCTAATATTTAATAATCCACATTTCACTGTTTTACTCTTTGGTTCAGATGTGGATACTTTATTGTTCTTTCTTGTAATTGTTTATGTTTAAGTTGTTTGTTGCTGGTTTTAGTTGTTTTTTGTCTGTTTGGGAGCTGACACAGTCTCTATGGAGATGGGTTTTTGGGGGGGTAGCAGGAGGAGAGAAGCTGTAGAGAGGAGTGTAAGACTGCAACTCTGCTTCCTGGTCCCAACTCTGGATAGTCATATTTTGGGGGGTTAATAAATTGTCCATATTCTAGAAATGAGAGCTGCTCCATCCAAAGTGGGATGGATGCCGTCTCTTCTAACAAGACCAGGTTTCCTCCAGAAGGTTTGCCAATTATCTATGAAGCCCACATCGTTTCTGGGACACCACTCAGACAGCCAGCAATTTAAGGAGAACAAGCGGCTAAACATGTCACTCCTGGTCTGATTGGGGAGGGGACCAGAGAAAAAAAATTTAACCTCTGTCTCTCTTCCACAGCATGTCTTTTATCCTGTCTTCCTTCTTAAGGGGCTGAGCTGTCAACTGATCACCACCTGGTGGTGAGTTGGATCAGGTGGCGGGGGAGGACGCTGGACAGACTTGGTGCATGTCAAGTCAAACCGAGTAGGAGGTGGAGAGCCCTGAGGGAAAAAGTAAACGTGACAGACTGGAGGGCGGAACTAATCTTGTGTCTGGGTTTCTGTCGGGAAGAAAAAGAAAGGCGAACTGGGAAGCAATAGGAAGGTGCCACTTTCGGGAAAAGCCCAGCATAATTCCTTCAATAAGTTGTCGCCAACATGAATATTGTGTGGAACTGAAGTATCTTTAAAGCCAGGGAGGCAGCCGGTAAGGGAATGGTTGCTGACTATGGTAAAAGACTTTGAAGCGAGTTGCTAAAGAATCGCGGCTGCCGCTAGCTTACGTAGCATTAGCACTGTGCCGTGAGTTGGTTGCCTGTTTACGAGCGGCACCATTGTTTATTGTTGGTCTGCATATGGAAGACTGTTAATGCTTGCATATGGTTAAGAGAAGCTGGTTATAAATACTATTGTTACTGCTCAAGTTCTAATGCAGATTGATTATTTAATTTAGCACTTTAATAGAAAGCAGTATTTCTCAAGGTGTATGTACAATTGTTAGTGAATTACGTAATTTGAGCATTTAAAAATACTCAAGCAAATATTGTACTACAAAGCTTATGCACTGCATTGATGTGTTTAAAAAAAAAAAGAAAAAAAAATGTGTTTGGGATTGTTTACAATATTTGCAGATGTGTGATAACAAACATAATTTGTATTTGGGTTTTTTGGTTTGTATTTAAAGGTTTTTCACCTATGGCTGACTGTGGCCGAAAAGAAGATTAAAGAAAAGGAAAACAAAAGATCTGCCTGGTCATTGAGTGAAACCCAGTTAAACACCTGTGGTAGATGCATCAATCCCTTTCAAGCGGGGAAGCTGCACAAACTTAGAGAGCTTGACAGTGAAAAACCGGGAAATCAAATCTGGGAAAAATGACCTTTAGTCCTGGGATAAGGGAATAATTAGTGCAAAGAGGAAATTCGGAGAATCCCTCAAGTTGCATGTGCCATTCCCATTAGTAAATAAACCCCAGTTCAAGCTGAGCACACAAAAATGGCAGACCAAGCTGCTGGAAAGTCAGTTGAACAACTCAAAGGAGTGAGGGCAACAGCCAAGAGATCATTCTCTCGTCTGGTTAATAGCATTACGAGGACGCATGAGGATATGACTGAAGAAGAACTCAAAGACAGTTTCAATAGACTGACAATGGAAGCAGAGAAAGTCATGGAGGCCAATGATGATCTAGAGGCCGGTTTCATCACGGAGCTAGAGGCAAAGCCTGACACAAGTGAAGCAGCTGTGCTGACAGAACAGCAGAGAGCCGACTTAGCAAAGACTGCAAGTGAATGTGAGTTAAAACTGAAGGAAATAAAAACCCTAGTCAGAGAGGCTCTCTGGGCCAACTTTGGAAGTGCAGAATTGTCCACAGCACTACAGGCAGCAGAGGCTGAGTGTGATCATGTTGCTGCCATTACGCCTGACGGTAATTATGAAGTGTATGATTTCGTTCTTGGCCACCTGAAAGAATTGGTGGGAGTGGCAAAGGAGAGGTATAGCAAGTGGAAGCATTGGATCCCATCAGGTATTCGGAGAGATCTTCAAAGCAACATACAGAGGCTGGAACTCGGCGTCCCCAGGCTGGTTTCCAGAAAAGCTGACTTTCTGGAAATGAGAATAAAGGAGGATGCCGATCACCTGTCATCATTGCCAGTTACCTCCAGCTGCCCCATGCCAATCATCAAGCTGAAACCAACAGCACTTCCTAAGTTTCTTGGAAATAAACGAGACTTCCACAGATGGAAGAAGGAATGGGAGGTTCTTCAGGGGCAGGCGGAGCCATCTGGTTCGAAAGAGATCAAAAAGTTTCAGCTACTTGATAGTGTGGATGAGAAAATAACGAAAGAACTTCGACTCACCACTTACAACACTGCAGACGACATCTTTCGTGTTTTGGAGAATCGGTTCGGCAATCAAACATCAATTGCTATTGAAATAGTGGAGGAGTTACAGAGGATGCCAGCTGTTAAGAGCCACCAGCCAAGAAAAATAGTGGAATTAATTCAAGCTGTGGAGAAAGCGCTTCAAGACCTGGTTGACCTTGGTGACACGGGGGCCATA